ATTGTTGGCCCGATTTCTAGCTAGACAAACAGAAGGCAGTATTATAGACTGCAGAAACCACAGTTTGTCAGCCTGGTGGTTTTTTTTTTTCTTCTTCTTCTTCTTCTTTTTTTTGTTAAATATGCTGTCCCTGAGAAACATGATAGAATTTGTTTTACTCCTCTTCTGTCAGGAAGTAACCCTTCTGGCTTTGTTAGAAGCATGGTTTGTAATAATTGTACCCACCCCAGATGGCTCCTGAAAACCCTTTGAAATGCCATCTGCCAGGCGTGTGTCCAGCCGGCAGCCTGTCATTCTGCTACAAGAAAAGAGGAGGCAGGGCCCCCTCCCAGCACAGCATCGCTCAATGGAGCCTGGTCAGGTTGGCCCAGACCCAGGGCGGGTTGCTCGGAGGATAACCAGGAGGAAACCTCCTGCTAGCTGGCAGCATGGAAAGGTTTTGTCTGGGTAATAAACCCTGAAGGTTTTGTGGGTGGAGACTTAGCCGCCCACCCACCCCCTTCCCCTGCAGCTCAAAGACCATTCTGAGCATATTTATTTACACGGGGAAAATGATATCTGCTAGTTTCATTTTTCCTTTAAAATGTAGCATTTTTGATGTTCTTGATTACTTTGAATCCTTTCAGGAAATTAAGACCCAGAGGTGACTGTTATCTTTAAAGTAAATCTGACAAATTGGATCTGAAAACATGGTTGAAAGCATTGGCAAAGATAAGATGGGTACAGGAGGGGAAAAAGAAGCAACATTGTCTGGTTTGGGAAAACTAAAAACCCGCTAAATCTTTTGTTTGATTTTATTTTAAACTCTCTTTTTCGGACTGGATTAAGTTTATGGAATTTTGGTGTGGAGGCTGGGTGTGAGAGCTGTCCTGTGGATGTTTAGAGCGCATTTAGGACAAACAGGTCCTTTCCCAGCAGGTTTCAAAGCGATTCTGTTCTTGCACCCCATGCTGGAATTTCTCAGTGTGATGTCGACTGTTTGTGTTTTACACGTTGTGGCTGAACAGCTTTTTTACTTGGCTCCAAAGCATCACACCCTCCTCCTTCTCTTCTGCCTTGTTGGCTGTTGCATTTTAGTCTCCTGTAAGAATCTTCCTCCTTTTCCCAGCTTCTAAAAGTTAGAGGGTCTAAGTGCCCTATCCAGACTTCTGGGCTTCGTTTTCTGTGCTCTCTCCATCCATTTCCTCTTTCTGACTCTTGCCTTCGAGTGCCAGTGGTTTGCTGATCAACTGCTCATTCCCAGATGAAGGTCCTCCCTCTGCTCTGACCTTCAGACACAAGGCTGCCTGTCCTCCAGCTGTCTGCACAGAGGTTTCTGATAGGCAGCAGCTCCCCTGGAACATGTCGAAAAGAGAACTCTTGATTCTCATTTCTCCCCAAAACCATCGCCCCTGTCCTCTCAGTCTCTATAAATGACACAACCCATTTGCCTAGGTCAGAAAATCCAAAGTCAGCCTTTATTGTTGTCTGTCTGTCTGTCTTTCTTTCTTTCTTTCTTTCTTTCTTTCTTTCTTTCTTTCTTTCTTTTTTCTTAAGTTTATTTATTTATTCCATAAGAGAAAGAAACCCAGCACCCCGACAGGGTCCTGATGCCATGATCTATCCCAACTTCAGCCAGCTCAAATTGTAGGCACACATGGGCCCAGTGTACTTGGGGAGGTCTCCCTACTTGAAGCAGCAACCTTCCCATGTGGGATTGCCTCACAAGCATCGTATTTTACTGCCACATCACATCTGGCTCTTATTCTTTCTTACATGCTGTGTCCAGTCCATCAGCCAGTTCTGTTAGTTCTGTCATCAAAATACAGACCCAGTGTGGTGTGATGAGTTGGCAGCTAGCCTGGGACTCTCAGAGGGTCTTCATTGTCTCTTACCTGGACTCTGCAGTAGCTACCTGACTGGTCTCCCTGCTTCTGGGCCGGCCCCTGCATCTCCATTCATTTCATTGCCTTTTCTTTGGAAGTTAAAGACCTTTTCAAAACAACTGAATCAAGGCACCATCTTGCTCAAAACATTTTAGAGACTTCTATCATCCTTAGATTAAAGGATGACGTGTTTTCTGTGGCCTATATGACCTGGTCCCTTCCTTTCATTTCTAACCTCTTTCCTTCATTCTACAATTAGCTGGTCCTTTTGCCCCTCCACCAACATGCTAAGCCTATAGTCACAGCAAACCTTTGGCCTTTCCCTCTACCTGGGGTGCTTCCTCATTATCTCTGCAATGACTTTTGTAATCACCTGATCCAAATAGCTTTCCTATTTTCATCTTGCTTCTTCCCTCCAAGACACTTTTTATCTTATTTAAATTTTTGCCACAGGGCATATGTACTCAGCGAGGAGAGAGAGACAGAATGAGAATGAGAAACATTCTCCTTCCCTCTCTACAGGACATGGTTGTGCCACAATCTTGTCTGTTTTTCCCTCCTTCCAGGATTTTGGGCACCCACACACACATGCCTGGTGTGTTTGTAGAGCCACTTTGTCTAGGACTCCGCCACACAATCAGCTATGCGGGATCTGGCTGCATTAACCGCCAGGCCACAGTTGAGCCCCAAGACACTTTCTAAAACTTGAATCTGCATTTTCTTTAACTCACAGAAGGATGATTTCTACCTAAAATTATGTGCTATATTTATATATATACATATATATATATGCATATATATCTCACAATAAAATATGAATTCCATTAGGACAGAGGCTTTGTTTGGTTTGCTAGTGTTTCCTAAATGAATGCTTGACCTATATTGGCACCTCAGTAAATATTTATTACGTGAATTAAACATACAATGACACACATACATATATGTGTATATAATAGCAGATTATTGTAGTGGGAATAGAACCAGATCCTATCAACTCATTTCATTCTAATAACATAATCTGTAATATATTCTATCAGTTGCTAACTGAGCCCTCTAGAAGGGTTCTCTCATTTAGTGCATATAACACAGCGTAGGGTGCCATTATTATCCCTGCTTTGCAGCTGAGGACACTGGGAAATAACAGAAGCTATGAAACAAGTCCAAGACCATAAACTTGCCGTTTCACACTCCCGGCCCTTGCGTATCAACAGGGTACAATACTGTCTTGATGTTTCTTGAGATATGAGTTTAAAAGTTGTGAATGGGGGCCAGCAGGGGGCGTGGTGGTTGAAGTACTGGATCCCACATGGCTGACTGTGTGGTTTAAGTCTGGGGTCCAGTGACTTGAAAAATACACTAGGCACATTGTGCGTGCATGCCCGAAATCCTGAGAGGAGAATGGAGGAGAAGGGATTACAGTGTTATCCTCTTCCTGGGGATGATTTCCCTTCCCTTCCCTTCCCTTCCTCTCTCTCTCTCTCTCTCTCTCTTTCACATGCACCTTATAGCAAAAAATAAAACCAAAAAAGCTGTGAATGACCTTAAAAGACTTGCCTTCAGCCATCAGGGAAGATAGAAATGGGGAAAACATTAGCAAACAGTACAAGAGTTGACTTCTGAGTAATACGCGAGTAGGCTTGTTTACCAGAAAGACCCAGCAGGCTGCACATCAGAAGCAAACATTCACAGTACAACCATTCTGTGGGTGTCAGCTACCTAAGACATTCAGAGTTCAGAGGGCAGAAAGCTAGGCTCATTTAAAAATGTATTTGGCCAGTGTAAAGTATGACAAAACTTTAAGAAGTATAAAACATGAAACCAAAGGATGAGTTTATTTTAGTGCAAGAATTTTGAAGTCCATGCATAATGTGGACTATGGTGAACTTTTTAAAACCTCTCTTGTGGAAGAAGTGTAGAGTTTTTCTTATGGGTAAATGGGAATTACGGATATTCAGTGTAGGTGTGTGGACGTGGTCATTGACATATGCAACTGTTCGAAGACTGCACCCTGCCAGGACTGTGGGAACTACGAGGCACATACAGTTGGTTATTTAATTGTTTTAAAGTTCAATGAGGAGATCCTGGAAATAATGGAAAATTTCTGCTTATTAATATAGGAAAGCTTTGACCTGAAAAACATTTCCTTAGATACGATGCCTTGGAAGCTGTGCCATGTTAATCTTATCACCTGACTTGACCATAGGAGCAGAAATCACTATTTTTCCTCTTTTTTGGACTTCCATGATCTTTAACATAGGGTCTGGTATGCACTACAACATTGCTTCTTGGTTTATTTTCTTTTCTTGGCTTATGTGTTAATCACATTCTGTCTTTAACTTCTGTGCTTTGACTGAGACTGCACTAAAACCCTAGGTCCACAGGGCAGCACGTACTCTGGGTCAGTTGAGTACTCTGGAAGTTCCATATAATTTCAAAAGAGGAGTTGTTACATAACATTTACTTGCTGTTAAGAAGAGCAGACTAACTCAGGAGACTTTGCTACCAAATGCAGTGTTTTTCTCTCCAGTCAGAACTTACGGGTGGCCTCCCTTTTACCAACCATATTAATTACATGGAAAGCAGGAGCATTGTCATGCCTGGGAGATGTCCGGCCACAGATCTTGAGCAATCAAATTTCTCTAGTGATGTGTTTATGCAGTGGCTGTCATTTTCTTCAAAGGTCTTATTACGTTGGAACTTGCCAGATGTATTGGGGAACACAGGAATTCCAAGGCCTATGATAAAAATATAAACCCCTTAGGCTCTGAGATTAAGATGGATCACTTTTTAGTGTTTACTGGAGTCCTAAAAGCTACTGGTTGTGAATGTTGTCTGTAATAAATGCAGTTCACCTTTTCCATTCAGTGCATTTTAAAACATGGTAAAATCACTCTGGATTACCTCACTGTCCTTGGTTTTCTCTTTTTCCTACTCAGGGGTCCCAGGAAGGTAGAACTGAGGATGCTATTCTGTTAGAATGAAGTTGTCTTTACTAGGTCCCTGTCTGGACAGATAAATCTGCAGAGATTTAAACTAGCCCGCTTACTGAACAGGTTATTTTAATTACACCTGGATGCCAAACTTCCTGTTCTCATTACCTGATGGTTTCTCGTACCTTTGTGTTTCCTGCTACAGGCACGACCCGGTCTCCACGAGAAGGAGAAGTGCCTGGCGTGGACTACAACTTTCTGACTGTGAAGGAGTTCTTGGACCTCGAGCAGAGTGGGACTCTTCTGGAAGTTGGCACCTATGAAGGTGAGCTTATCTGTACGGTGGCAGTGAGGATGCTTGTCTCCTGGGTGCCTCAGAGGATCCAAAGCCATCTTGGCAAATATATTGCAGACTAGGGAGGCATGAAAAAATCATAGGAAATTGCAGTTCACCTTAATGTGATTAATAATGAAATACGTGGACTAAGGCTTTGTTGAGTTTTTTAAAAATAGTTTTGCTTTTTTTCAAGAGTTTTTTCCTACAATTTATTAATTTGTGTGTGTGTGTGTGAGTATTTTAATATGGACAGGAATGATATTAAAAAGATAAGGAAGAAAATTAATGGTTAATCACAAAATATGACCTTATGGATAGTGTCATTTTAATCTTGAAGGAATGGAATGTCTTTTTACCACTTACTTTAGTGAAAAATATATTTACATTTTCATAAAACAAACTTTTTATGATGTTTAGTAATTTATTTTGTATACCTTTCCCCTACTTACCTGGTTTCCCATTCACTGTTACAATGTTATAGTTTCTGTTTACTGTTCTGAAGCTTCTTTCTGTAAATACAGACATGCACATGTGCGGGCTTATGTACATGTGTGTATGTTCTTGTTTCCTTCCCATTTTACACAAAAGTAATGTACAGTACGTGCCACTGGGTACCTCGCTCTTTTTATTTAATAGTATGTCTTAATAGGTCTTTGCGATTCAGTAATGGAGCACTTCTCTTTTTTTAAGTCTATTTTATTCATGTGAGAGAGTGTAAGTGCACCCACATGCCACATGCATGAGAGAGACTTGAGAGAGAGAAAGAGAGGGAGAGAAGCACAGAGAGATACAGATTGAGATACAGATCGACCTAGACAGGACCTCATCACAGCAAGGCCCCCTCCCCAGCCCTAAAGTTTAGAGCGTACCCATTTCCAGAATGTTTTGGGCCAAAAATCTAAACATGTGCTTGGCCATGTGGCTTCCATGTTGTCATTCAGTATGCTACTGACCACACGACCAGGTTGAGCTTTTCTTTTTAAAATTACCGTGTAATTCCTTTGCATGGACATACTATAATTTATTCAACTAGTTCCCTATGGGTTAACATTTGGGTCATTTTCAGTTTTTGATATTTCACAAGACTGCTATATTAAATCGCATTGACCTATATCACTTCACACAGGTGAAAAATATCTTTGGGATGATACACCACGTATAGTTTTGGTAGGTCAGAACTAAATGTTGGTGCAGGGGGAGTTACATTTTCTGAAAACAGTATTGCAACTCAACAGTATTGCAACTCAGTTGCTCTTTAGATTGTTCTTATTCTTGGCAACAGAAGTGGCATAATATGATACTGTTAACCAGGTCAAATTGTTGATTTGGTTCTGGGAATTACATTCTATGTATCTCTACAAACTCCTAAAAATTGGATTTATTGGACAACCACAGGGGCAGTGTAAAGATCATGCTTTAAAAACAAAATATAAATGCAAAGTAGACTGTTGTTGTATCAGGGCATCCTAGCTTTGATGTGTTATTTTGCCGCCCTTTACAGGCCACATCTGGCCATCACGTAGTGACCACGAGCCACAGGTTTGTGGTGTCTAGTTTGGTGTTCTTTGGAGAGGGAAGAGAAGGAACAGAACATTGTCTTTGTACATGTTGTTCAAATTGTGAATACACATTGGGCAGTGTTTAGACATTGATCATATTCCTGATTGTGAAGTCAGGAATATGATTTTTAGGTATTGCTAATTATCAGTTGAATTAGTTTACTGCCAGTGGATGTGACTGGGTGGCTGGTGGGCTGGGCAGGAGGTCTGCGAATAGTTAAGATCTGGGACTCCTGGGAGGGAAGGAAGAGGGGTTAAGTGAATGTAGGAGGAGCTTCACCAACACACTATCTTTTTTTTTAATTAAGAATTATTTAATTTAATTTTATTTATTGTTATTATTGTTATTTTTTCATTTGACCAGAGAGACACAGGAGGGGGGGGGTGAGAAAGCGAGCCACCAGCTCCAGGACTTGAACCATGGTCAGCCATGTAGGAGTCGAGCACCTTAATTGTCATGCCATCTGCCGGCCCCTCAACCTACTGCCTTGTACATGTGAATTGAGTTACATATTCATTTGACATGACTAGAACAAGTGTGAATCCTCTTTGGTTAGCAGGCAGGGATTTGTCCTTATTTGAAATCAGTTATTATTCCCATCTGGGGAACTTGAGTCTCCTAATATAAAAAACATCCATTTGCATTTTTGGAGAGGCGAGGAGTGGGAGTGGTTGTGCAAAGCGGAAGAGTGTTGAACTGGAAAGGAAAAGCTTGTGATTTAGATGCCAATTAAACTTAGGAAAAGGAACATAAACTCACTTTACTCAGATGTTTATGTGACAAATAATATAGGTGGGATAAATTATTTTTCTCCTTTCACTTTATCATTGTAACAAGTATACCTATTATATTCACATTTTTAGATGAGAATGCTGAGGCCAGGTGGCATACAATAAGTTTTCCAAGGCTGTACAGCCAGTTCTAAAATGCTGGAACAGGAGCCAGACCCAGCTCCGTTTGACTTTCAGATCCCACTCTGCTGCATAAGAAGACAAACTGAGCTGAAACCATGAATTATGAAAAATAGCATGTTAGTACGTTAACCTAGCTGCCTGGTATGTGGCAGTAGGGGAGTGTATTTCAGAAAATGCCTGATTGTCTGGGCTAAAACTGTGTTTTTATAAATGTCAGTTGGTTCTTTTGCAATTGGAATTTTCTTCGGTCTAGAATTAATCCTTTCTACTTTATATGCATTTGACTGTGTAGTGTTTCTTCAGCCTTTGACCTTTTAGTGGTATCGTTTCCCTTCCATGTGATGTGGCTCATCATTTGTTGGAACTGACTGGAGTATATTACGTTGACTCCTATGAGCTGAGAGCACAGTCGAATTCATATTAAATGCCACATATTGTCAGAGGAGTGGGCTGGTGGGGGAGCTCTTTAGAGAACTTCTGTCTCTGCCTCCCTGCTTGGGCCCCTTGATGGTAGCTGCTGTCTAGCGGTGGGCGCGAACAGGTAGACGGGCTGTGCTGTCACACTGCCTGAGTCTGAGTCTCAGCCTCTCTGTGATGGAGCTGTGTGCCCTCCGGCAAGCTACTTAATGCTCCACGTCTCCATTTTCCCTTTGGTAAAATGGGGATAATAATAGTGCTTCCTCATAGGTATGGCTAAATGAGACAGTAATTGGAAAGGGCTTAGCAGAGTGTCTGACACATGTAAGCTCTCAATCAGCATTAACACTTGTATTTACACACATGCCTGGTCCAGAATCGCTACTGTTCTGGAGTCTTTCCCCTTTCTACTGGTCAGTAAGCCAGTGGATTTGCCAGGAACATCTCTTTATTTATTTCCAGAGAACGTCTCAACTTTTTTCACTCCTTGAATGTCTTTCTCTTCTACTTATTTCAGAAAAAAAAAAAAAAGAAAGAAAGAAAAGAAAAAAGTCTACCATGGCCATACAAAACACTCTTTGAAGAAGCGTACTTTAAAATTATTATTCTTTTTATGTGCCAGAGGCTGTATACACTCTCCCTACAGAGGGAAAGAAAGAAAGAAAGCACCTTATACCAGGGCATGGTGGTACCATAATCTTTTCTCTTCCATCTAGCCATCGTTTCGGGATTTGGGGTGCACATGCACACACACCTAGCATGTTTTTCAAGCTGTTGGCACCAGATTCAGATGGCATAGTTGGCCGTGCGGAATTCAGCTCCTTTAATCACTAGTCCACAGGGTCAGTCGTAAAAATGTTTTAAAGAATTATTTATTTAATTAAATTAACTAATTATTATTATTATTATTATTAGTTTAATTTGACCAGAGAGAGAGAGAGAGGGAAAGTGAGAAAGCAAGCTACTAGGTCCAGGACTCAAACCACAGTCGCTTATGTGGGAGTCCAACGCATTTACCACCCTGCCACCCACTGGCTCCGCCAACAATGAAATATGTAAATCAAAGCAGTAAATGCATATAAAGCCCAAGTTGTTTCCTCTCTTCCCCACAGGTAGCCATTGTTGAAGGATCTAGTGCAAATGTTCAGGAAACTTACACGTAAGCAGCCTACACATAATGTATTCTTATATATTTCACTCTAGTCTTAAACTTTGCACCTTGGAGGTTGTTCCACAGTATCCTGAGTTCATTCTTCATAAATGCTGCATATACTCATTGTATAGATACGCATAATTTATTTAGCTAGATCCCTCATGCGTGAATGCACATGTAGGATGTTCTCTCCCCTACCTCTCTCCTCTCCCCCTTTTTGGTGATGGTGTTATAAACAAATGCTGCAATGAGCGTCCTTATTGATACGAGCATAACTATAGAGTAAGTATTTGATGGTGAAGTTTGAAAGCAAACCCTTTTATGCATGTCCAGTCCATTTTACCAAGTACTTATTGAGCATTTATTTTGGCTCAGCTACTGTCCTGAGGCAAGCAAAGCAATGTGCCGGGAAGAAGACCAGAACTGTGCTGTCTCTGAAGGTGCTTATGTTTTTGGTGATTTATTTTTGCCAACACTTGTGCAGCGTGTACTCTCTGTGGGGTGCTCTTTAAAGTGCATTATGTAAGGACCAGCAGATGACATACTGGTTACTTCACTGGACTCACACATAGTCAAATGCTGTTAGAGTCCCAGACCTGGTGACTTAAACAAACAAACAAACAAAGAAACAAACAAAAAAACCACCCTGGGTTCATGTGTGTGTATGCCCAAGATCTCGAGAGTAGAAGAGAAGGCCATCCCCCCTAGGAGGTGATTTCTCACTTTTCTGTCTCTCTGTTTCTTTCTGTCTCTCCAAAGAGTGCACACAGGCTATAGCAAAAATCTCTCTCTCTTAAAAAAATGGGGGGGGGGGACAAAATGTATTATGTGTATCAACTCATTTACTCTTCCTAATAAGTCTGTGAGGTGCCTACTATTTCACTCATTTTATAGAAGAGGAATACGAGACCTGGAAATGCCAAATATCTTCTTTAAGTTCACAT